CTCTCTCTCTCTCTCTCTCTCTCTCTCTCTCTCTCTCTAATAACTTCATTATTAACTGCATTAGATTGCTATCAACGGCTCAAGCCTCCTTTACTAGGTCTAAAATAATGTTTAGGAATTGGCAACGGAGGCATGAGATGCGTAGAAATTAGAATGCGCACGAGCGTTTTAAGGACAAAAACCTGATGAATGTCTTGAAATACATCATCTGAACAATGTCTTGAGGTGTGGTAACCGTAGTATAAGCAGAATAATTGACTCCGGTCCATTGAATTATTAGAAAATAATGCACACCTAATGACCTGTGCATTTCTATAGTGAAAAGACATTTAACAAATACATGGTCTGCACGTAACAGAATAACTTCTTTATTGAAAACCAACTGTGATTTTCATTTAGGCAGTTTTGCAAAAATAAATAAATAAATAAAAAATAATTTCATAATTACATCTATTGTCTCTATATGGTTAAAGCGTGCTGCTGAATGTACTGACATGCATTTATGGTAAACTCAAATACACTTTAACATCATTCCTATTGAAACTTGTATGTCATGTATTTAAATTAGGGCTGCCAGTTTAACAATTTAATTTGGTGCAATTAAGTATAAAAAATAACACGTTAAAATTATTAACGCATCTCAAGGGATAGTTCACCTAAAAATTAAAATTCTGTTATCATTTACTCACCCTCAAGTTGTTCCACCGTATGAATTTCTTTCTTCTGTTGAACACAAAATAATTCTTATTTTGAAGAATGCTGGTAACCAAACAGTTGATGGTAGCCTTTGACTTACAGAGTATATTTTTTTATACTATGGAAGTCAATGGCTACCGTCAACTATTTGGTTACCACATTCTTTAACACTAGAACTGCCAGGGGTCGTTGTATTCCTAAAACCGGCAGCGGGTAAAATTACCCATGCACTTGACTACTGTTTTGATATAGCTAAAAAACGTATGATGTCACTGTATTATGCCACTGTCTTCACAAAGTAATGTCTCTAGAGCCATGAAATGATAATTTTTAGTCATCAACTATGTTTTTGTCCTGTTGTTTTATGTTCAAGGCTATTTTAAGCGGGCTACACTAATCACTTTTTTTAACGGTGAATATAGGCTAACCAGCCTACACTGAAAACCAGAATTAGAAGGAAATAAATACATATTGGGGTGGTATAAGATTGTAATAAAATGTCATTAAACACATATTAAGATAACATAAAAGATATTATTTTAATTACTAAAATACCTTAAACAGACAATAGTGAGCAATAATAAATCACTGGATCGGAAATATATATTTTTCTTTAAATGTGCAGACTAGAATAAATAGCAACACAGTAGCAAACTATAAACGATAAAAATTGCAAAACTAAAATGAATAATTAATCCAAAATTTATTTTAGCCTACCCTTAAATGTTCAAACTTTGGATTAATTATTAATTTTTATTAATTTATTGTTCACTACTGTGTTGCCATTTATTCTAGTCTGCCCGTTTCCTAAAAAAAAGTATCTCTGATGTAATGAATAAAACAATTTTTATGATTACCCCAAGCTTATTGGTGTTGTTCTCTTATTCAAATTATAAATGATATAACTAAACAAATTAATAATCAATTAGGTGAAACTGCGCGCTTGAATTTGTCGTTGCACCATACATCCTATGCAGTGCGGTGAATTATTATTGCACATATATTGTCTACTGAACATAAAACAACAGGACAAAAACATAGTTGATGACTAAAATAATCATTTCATTACTTTGTGAAGACAGTAGCATAATACAGTGACATAATACATTTTTTAGCCATATCAAAACAGTAGTCATGTGCATGGGTAAATTTTACCTGCTGGCGGTTTTAGGTATACAACGACCCCTGGCAGTTAAAGGGATACTCCACCCTAAAATGAAAATTTTGTCATTAATCACTAACCCCCATGTCGTTCCAAACCCCTAAAAGCTTCATTCGTCTTTGGAACACAATTTAAGATATTTTGGATGAAAACCGGGAGGCTAGTGACTGTCCGATTGACTGCCAAGTAAATTACACTACCAAGGTCCAGAAAAGTATGAAAGATATCGTCAGAATAGTCCATCTGCCATCAGTGGTTCAACCGTAATGTTATGAAGCGACGAGAATACTTTTTGTACGCGAAGAAAACAAAAACAACGACTTTATTCAACAATTCGTCTCCTCTATCTCTCCGCATCACCGTAGTGCCATTTTGGAGAATAACCACTGAACGCAAGCGGCGTACGCTTTTCTGTGTCAGCCGCGCTACAGGGATGCGCTGTTTTCGTTCAAATCAAAGCGTAAATACACGTAGAAAACGTATCCTTGTGTCGCGGCTGACACAGAATAGCGTACGCTGCTTGCGTTCAGTGGTTATCCTCCAAAATGGCGCTACGGTGATGCGGAGAGATAGAGGAGACGAATTGTTGAATAAAGTCGCTATTTTTGTTTTCTTTGCGTTCAAAAAGTATTCTCGTCGCTTCATAATGTTACGGTTATCTAAACAATTTTTAACAATGGGGGATTGTAAATAACACAATTTTAGTAAAAGTCAATGACTGAGAGACTTGGATATTTTATTGAAATTCAAATGTACATTTGAAAAACAGCCATGAGTAAAATTTTAAGAAACTCGCTGATTTGAAACAACTTGAAGGTGAGTTGCCCTGTTGTTCAAAGTCATTTCACATGCAGAAATGTAGTGTCCACCCCTTGACACAAAGTTTGAGAGAAAGGTGATTGACTTGACGAAAAAGAGATGAAAAATGATGTGCACAAGACAACACAAATCATCCTGACCTTGAGTGAGAGATGTGTCTGAAGCCCTTCGCCCCTCTCTGAAACTGACTAGTGAGTGATTATGAGCGTCCTGCCCCTCTGTGTTGAGTGGCTGAAGGGTGGGCTCAGGGGGCTTCATGCTGAGGAAGACTGGAGCTGCGGAGCTGGCAGGTGTAGTGCTTAATGCTTCCTTTAGAGCTGGATTCTCTTCAGGCAAGCTGAAGTCACTTTGAGTCGAACCCATGCTGTACTCTGAGTCCATGCTCCCGAGAGATGGGTTCAGACCTGCAGAGAGGAGCTTTTGTTGTAACTGAAGTTCACTCAAGTATATGGATGTAACAGTATTTATTCAGTATCCAAAAATTAACAGTAAAAGTCAAATGGAAGTTAAAACTTAGTTGGGCGAGTACATAAATCTTAGTAACCGAGAACTTTAAGAACTGCAACATGATGCATGGCTTATATTGTAATGTAAAACAATAATTCAAGCCTTGCTGACCGCATTCTAGTCCAGACATAAACATAAACACATCTGTTTACCCGTGAATTCTCTGAATATGCACTTTACTCTACTGACTACACTTGTTTTAATCAATGTATAAATTAAGCTTGTATTTCTTTGTCTCTTTTTATCTGTTTTTTCTTTTTCATTTTGTCTTCTTTTCAGAATCAGAATCAGAATCAGAATGAGCTTTATTGCCAGGTATGTTTACACATACGAGGAATTTGTTTTCGTGACAGAAGCTTCCACAGTGTAACAGAATGACAGTGACAGAACAAAAAACACAGATAATAAAAAATAAAAAATAGAACAAGTAAAATAAGGAATAAAAAAATATACAAATCGACAATTGTATGTACAGGTATAGAACAATTTCGTCTCTGGTGAAACTGATTGCAGGGATATAACTAAAGACATTTATATAACTAAATATAAACGAACTAACAAAAACATAAAAACAACTGCGGAGCACGCCACGGAGACAGCCATCTTCGATCATGTCCACCTTCGATCAGGTGGCGGCGCCATTTTCTTTCTCTTTATTATGTTAAGCACTTTGAATTCCCATTGTGAAGGAAATGTGCTTTATAAATAAACTTGCACTGACGTAAGTGACATGAGCAAAATCAAAGACCACAGACAAACTGTCTACAAAAAAAACCTCACTGTCTGTTAATGTCAGTGGAAAAATGACCATAAGCAGTTTAGCTAGGAGGCCATGTTTTTCTCCAGAAGTTCATGTAAAATATTCCTCAAGAAAATATAAAGACGATCCTGTGTTTGTATCCTCATTTTTATTGCATTTGGTAGCCATAAAACACTGAAGTATATGTACTATATATATAGATTTTATCATATGTGAGAAAGGAAATGTAATAGAGTTTAATGTTTATTTGTTTTGAGTGTAACTGACACAATGCACTGTCAATGACATTGCAATTAATACACTGCCAAACACAGTACTGTTCAAAAGTTTGGGGTCAGTAATATTTATTTAAAGAAATTATTGATACTTTAATTCAGTAAGGATGCATTAACTTGATCTAAAGTGACAGTAAAGACTTTTACATTGTTACAAAAAAAATAATTAAACAGCACTACTGTTTTAAACACGGACAATAATAAAAAATGAGCAGCAAATCAGCATATTTGAATGATTTCTGACACTGAAGTAATGGCTGCTGAAAATGTAGCTTTGCCATCACATGAATAAATTACATTTTATAATATATAATAAAATATAAAGCAGTTATTTTAAAATGTAAAGTAGTTTTCACAATATTACAGTTTTTTTTCTTTATTTTGATGAAAATTTTTGGCTCTGTATATTGATCAAACAAATGCAGTCTCAGTGAGCATAAGAGGCTTTCAAAGAAATTTAAAAAATCTTATAGACCCCAAACTTTAAACAGTAATATATAGCTTTAAGATACTCTATATTAATATATGCATCTTAAAAACTATAATTGCCTGACCTCACCACATACATTATGAAATGCGGTACTAACCTGTGATGGGCAGCCCAGCAGGTTGGTTGGTGACCTCAGACAGTGTATGGCGGCGCTGATTGAAGCGAGCTGTATGAAAGGTGGCGAGGGGCACAGTGTGCTCTTCCTCCACCTCAATACCCTCATCAATGGATGTCTCCATAACGTTGCCAGGTAGTGAGCCACTGACTTTGCGAACAACGGCTGGAGGGAGTGGGTTCAGTAAGCAGCCATCCACCTGAGATATAAATACACACATACACACAACGTTGGCAAAAGTATTTTGGGTTGAAACAGCTCAGCAGTCTTTGGAACATTTTCACTTTGCTGTTTACAGATCTGACAAATACAGAGTTCTGGCATGAAACTAGATGGCGCAGTCCGATAGGTCTAACTTTATCTGACCTAATGACATCATTATCACATGGCACAGCTGATTGGTTCTCTCCTGTATCGATAGCCAATGAGCTCGCTGCTCAAGATTCAAATATATGACTAGTGCTTGCTGTAGCAGTTGCAGCTTGCTTCAGAAACCCTCCACCTTCCCCAGCTCCACCTGTATAGATCTGCTACGAGGTGATTCATGTATGCTATATGGGGGTTATTTCATGTATGTTATATTTGCAGCAGCAATATTTCTTACATGCTCACAGCAGCATGTTGTGGATGTATTGGCAGAAGCAAGTCTCTGTACTTACTCTGCCGCAGCAGCGTAGCAGATCTATTCCGCCAAGACCAAATACATTAACATTGTCATGTACATTACCATGCCAATCCCTCCGAGAGTTGTCATGACAGAACTGAAATCAAAGCTGAAACTGGATGTAACTACTAGCTATTCCCAAAGAGGCAAACAAGAACACTTTGAAATTGATATAAAGTGAAGTTTATCAGTGAATAACAATTTAAAGTCAACATGAAATGCATGTTATAGATCTTATTGTGAATGGTTCATTCATGCATAGCTTCCATTTTTACCAAAAGATCTGTTGCTACTTCCATTACAACTTTAAATGTCAGTCTTTTCTTCAGGCAAAGCTATCATTTGGTTTCCAATCACAGAGTACTAGTAATATAGACTACTTTTATGGTTCTTTTTTGAGTTTGAAAACTGCGTTGACTTTGATTCCATGACCTGCATAAAGATTCAAAAATCTACTTTCGTGTTCTTTGGAAGAAATAACAGAAATCAAGTTGGGAACAACATTATTAATCTAATTTTCATTAACAAATTACTTTTGATAATAATTAAATCAAAAGTGTATTTCTATCAATGGCCAATATCCTTCCAAATCATTATTGAATGTTCTTATTTTACTTCGATATCAACAAATACAATATATTTGTAGAGCAAATATACATTATATGGACAGTTATTCTATTCTACTCTTTTGCTCATAAAATTGATCCTCTTTTCTGTTACACTCTCTTACAATTAGGTTACAATAAGGTTATTGGCGTGAAGAAACTTTAAACATCCATGGAAACTTTTCAGTGTACAAAAGATTCTTTAAATTATTAAAATGTTCTTTACACTAAGAAAAAATATGCTTCTTTTAAGAACTGTTCACTAAAGTGTTGTTTTGGGAACCCAAAATGTTTTTTCCCCCTATGGCATCACTGCAAAAACACCCTTTTGGAAGCTTTATTTTTATAAGTGAAGACCATGTCCGTGTCATCCGTTTCATTTATGAGAAATTATGTAATTTTGCTCTGTTGAAATGTCCACAGGCGACTGGCAGCTTTCCTGAATTACAATAAGCCAATTGAAATAAGTTTATGAGAGCGTGACCTCAACGTGTTTAAAGAGATCCCTAGATTGCCATCTGTTCAGCTCCACAGGTGCTGAGGCTCAATGAATGACTTATCACGCGTCCCTTTCTTTATAAAACAAACATTTACATTTATTCCTTTGGCAGACGGTTTAACAACAGCTCAAAGCCCATTTAAGGACTACTTTTAAAAGTGTGTTTGTTCCCTGGGAATTAAGCTCTTGACCTTGGTATTGCAAGCGCCAACTGAACAGAAAAGACCTGTTAGAGGGCAAATTGGTATGTATACGGCAGAGTCCCCACAGGACGAGTCAACGCTGCATGTCAAGAACAGTAGCTACGGAGATTGCCTTGCAACAGCCACGGTGACAAATGTAGTCACACTTCTCACAAGTGGAGTGAACAACCAGCACTGATCACATGGGTGGCACATCAGGGGCATTTACAAACACAGGGCCATGCTGATGTGTAACAGCAGGCCGAAAACCTGACATGCTGGCGTTACTGTAACAACAGGCTGCAAATAACAGGGTGTGCAGCTGAAATGCAGCCTATGTGTTTCCCCATGTTCAACAAGGGTGTGCAGCATGAGCAATGTTTTAGATCATGGTATGAGTATATTGCATAATAGTTTGTTTTGCTGGAAATTTGAAGAAAAATGGTTTATATTTGAATAATTATTCATAATAATCATATTTTGAACAATGCAGTAAATACTTAAAATATTAAATATTTAAAAGACAAAAAAATTTAAATAGTTTATATATTAAATAATCATAATAACAATAATTAAATAATAATAATATTTCAGACAATGCAGTGAAACTATTTTTTTAAGTGCTTCATCTCATTTAATACATTTTTTATATTATTATTATTATTATTATTATTATTAGTTTCCCACCTAACCATCCCACCTAACATTAATTTTTTTAAATATATATTTTTTTATGTCTGAAGGTGAGTATGACTGATACCAATATTACTGATGTCTTTAGGAATTTTTTTCCCCTTAATATTTAACCACTGAATATAACCATTCAACTTTACAGTAGCTATAGTTGAGAGTTATCAATTTTAACATTGATTAGACTTTGAAAAATAACAACTTCAAGTGAACTTAGAACAATCTTCACATAAACCCATTATAATAAATGTCATATTTAGCTACCTGTGCCCTTCAGCAAGTAGGCAATATACATAAATTGAATAATGTTATCAAACACTAAACTCTAAATGAAATATAGATGAATCCTTAAAGCTCTTTTTTCTTTTGTTCTTTGATTAACAGACATCACAGCAGCTGGTTATTAGGTTATTTTGGATGCTTTAAGAGCTGCCGCTGCTGAACATGACGCAGATCTGACACGCATCGTATTTTCTTACAACTCTTTACCTTTTGTGACCCACCCCAGCTCTTAAAGTCTCTATTAATGAGCTGACGGGTTGAATCGGGAGTTAGATGAGGGAGACAGAGCTGGGCTGCTCCAGGACAGTTTTGAAAACCACTGCATGTTCTTAAATGTGACTCATATAACAAATACTTGCATGCATGCAGTTTTAAGGCAGCTTTAATCGCCTTTTTTGGTAACTTCATTGCTTAACTGATGACATAACTATGACATTGCATACTCGTAGTTTCATTTGTGATTTAATATGATATAGCACTTTAATAACATTGCGTTAAATATTTTTAACTCCGTTAAACTGAAAAAAAAATATAATTATCGTATGCGTTATATAATTAATTCAAATATAATAGCCACACACACACACATATATATATATATATATATACTACATTAGTTCATGGTACATGGTTCATCAAAAATGTGCACTAGGATTTAAGTGAACTCAAAGCTACTAGAAATGGACGAAAAGTCCCGTAATTGACGTATTTTCACATTTCTCCATTACTCTTAAGTGCAAAGCACTCTGATAGCCACGCAAACTATCACTTTAGAAAAAAAGTAGGCCCTACAGCAAAACCTCTGCAGGTTGACATATTCCCGGTGTCATGCAGAACATAATGTCATATCACCCAGTCCCAGATATAATATAAATTCCCCTGTCTCTGTCTGAGTCATTCATTTATGAATGAGTAGCAATAAGTGCTTGAGATATCTACACTGACGCAAAGCACCAATGGTTACACCAAGCGCTGAAATCATAAAGAGCGTTTTTTTATTATTTAATATATAAGCAGGTGTTATTTTAGGAGGCTGAAGTGCTGCTGAGATACTGCGGGTGAGTAATGAGAAAGAGATCAGGCTGACACGCAGGCAGAGGAACTTCACACGCTGCAGACAAAAGCTCTTATTGCCGTCATACAGCAGCGCCAATGAGTAACGCTGCTATTTAAAACACGCAGGCAGAGCTTACGAAATATAGCCTCAAGCCCGAAAAGAGGATGAGAGATTTCTCTCTGTGCCATAACAATCTATTTAATAACCTTATTTTGCTGCTCACTTCATCTGAAACATAACTGACCTTGGGAGTGGCCACGTCTTCCTCCATGAGCGTCTGATCTGGGGAAGCAGGGGTTTGTGGGAAGGTAAATGTGTCTGTGGTGGACTGCAACAGAACAGGTGAACGCAGGTGACGTGCTGCCTGCGGCAGGACACCCGCTTGGGAGGGAACCGCAATGGTCTGTAACAGAATATGAATGCATATACCAATAAGAACAATGGTAATAATATCATGGAATTGCAGCTATCATGGCTGTACCTTGGTACTGTTTTTAAGTTTTCATAGTCACAGACTTTGTACCATGGTATTACCATCGGATACTGTTTGAATATGTTGATGAGTCCATAAAAAGGATCCTAAAAGGTGTTAACAATACACCAAGACAAAAAAGCGTGTTTCTGTGGTTTATGGTCGTAGAGGTTAAACTGAAAGAAGGATGGCTGGTTTTTTTCCTCATGATTCCAATATTTACATTTTTATACCAACGCCATTTCAATATGTCTGGGTAGACTTCACAGATGGGGTTACCTTGACAACAGTCTGCTCAGCGATGGTGCTAGGGCGGCGCTGGCTGGCGTGCAAACGCTGTTCCACAGGGAAACTGCTGCGATGCGCTTTCAACCGCTCCACAAGCAGGTAGTAGATAGCAGCAAAATGGTTATAGCTTTTGTTCTGAAGAGACTGTGACAGGAAAAGCAAGAGTTTTTGAAGAACAAGACAGAAAAGGAAAGAGAACTCTGGCAAATGTCAAATTTCTATCAGTATGTTTTGGAAATATTCTGAAGGGCTGTTGTTTGAAATAATCTAATATGCAAATCAGAGGAGAAATTATTTTAGGAAACCCAAAGCCCAAACCATTACTAGAGTTCAGAATTGAAGAATTGACTCATGAGTGTGATTTATAAGAAGTTTTGTGACAAAACATAAATAATAATACTATTTATTTTTTAATAATTAAGAATGTTTATTGCCTTTTTTTTTTTTTTTTTTACAAAAATGTGTAAATATTGTCCAAAATAACACTTAAAACTAATATAAAACATATATATTAATTTATACATATTTTTCCAAAATATTTTAATGGTAGATCTATTCACCAACCTTTCTGAGTAAATTAAAGAATTTGGGGAAATGAGTGATCTTCCACAGAAACAAAATTCCATAGGTGGCTATTGTAAACATCAATTATTACTATCATTTAAAGTATGAACACATACAGAATTTCTTTGAATTTCACTCCAGTTCAATTTCAATTCAATTCTTACATTCTAATTGTAATTACAGTTCTACATCCTGTTCGCAACCTTAATTCAAATTCAGTTTAGATGCAAGAACTGAACTAGAATTTGAACACATTCTAAATCCTGGCCAAGTAAAAGCTGATCAGCTGACCTCAATGGTCTTCTGCTGGTCGATGCCCAGGCTGTGCATGAGTCGGAGCACCTGCTCACTGTGTTCACCCAAGCCTAATTTGCTCACACATGGCAGACCCTGTCTATACAGCACGGGCCGCTGGGACGGGACCTCCTGCACCATCCAGCGATGTTCTTTGATCTGACTCAGGGACAAACGCTTGGCTGGATCTAGAACCAACATCTTCCTGATCAGGTGCTCACAGTCTGATAGAGGATATAGGGAATGCAATGAGCTTAAAAGACAAAGACATTTCCTTCGGAAACTTCACAGAGTAACAATACTATTATCACTATTTCTAAAAATCTGATTACATAGCATGTAATCCCCAGCACTGCTTATTGTTTATTCATGACAACTAAAAGGATGGATGAACTTCCTCACCCTCACTCATGAAGTAGGGGATGCGGAAACGGCCCTCCAGGACCCTCTGTCTGAGGACAGGAAGGCTAGGACCATCAAATGGAAGAGTGCCACACACTAACACGTACAAAACCACCCCCATACTCTGCGTGACACACACATGCACAGAAAATCAATAAATAAACATAAAAATCTGCCTAGAACTAGAATAAAGGACCACCCACACAGAATACAGGAAATAACAATTATGTTTTCAATCAACTGAATTACCATTAGTTGTTGACACAATTCTCTGTTCTGACTGTACTGGGAGAACATAAATCAACAAATGGCAATAATTTTGACAGCTGTCTACAGTATGTACATATTAGTTTAATGCCATGAGGTCATAACACGCTTTTTTGAACACGGTTCCATTGTAATACCATGGTTTTGTGGACGTGTACCATGATAATTCCATGTTATTCTTTAGAGAACCATTTTAAGTCAAGTTCAATTTATTTGTATAACGCTTTTCACAATACACATTGTTTTAAAGCAGCTTCACAGAAAATCATGATGTTAATGTTTACAATATACTAATATTTTCATACTTTATAGTTGAATTTAACAGATTGGAGCTGGACGATAATATAATTTTCATTTTGCAATGATACAAGCAATCAAGCAGTTGAGATATGCTAAACTGTATATCGATCTACAGGAATATACAGTATGTATGCAGATAATATAGTTACATTTTGCGACACAATAATAAAATCAGAGATTGAGATTTGCTGTATATTGCCTTACATGAGTGCACTGTATGTAGAACTGTGCAATAATACAGTTTACATTTTACTGTAACAATGTAAATACCATCGTACATGAATATGGTACTCAAAAATCGTATTGTACAAGCACAATACAAGTAGTATGGTATATATATAAAAAAAACACTATAATATTGCCATCTGATACAGTCACTGTACCACCAAGCTCTTACCCAGATGTCCAGTTGCGGACCCTCATATTGTTGCCCCTCAAACACCTCTGGAGCCGCATACGGGGGGCTGCCACACCAAGTGGTCAGTGGTTCCCCAGGACGGAAGAAGTTTCCAAAGCCAAAATCTGCAGCAGATTTGAATAAAAAGTCAATGTCAGCACTCACATTAGTATAATCATCTTGCTTGACATTAGCAAAATTTTGTGGGCAAGAAAGGTCAATTTTTTTAATACTTAAGAAAAACTTAGTGGCTCTTTACTGTGCATTGTCTGCTCTGGGGTATGTCTGCCGTACAAAGACATAACTCGCTGCTTAACCACTGAAGAACAATGCATCATTACATTACTCGCTCATTTCTAAACAACGTAATATTTCTGAGATGCTGCTGTATTGAACTTGGCATCTGAGGACTACTTCACTTCACATTTTTTGTTCCCGATCGTGTTGCTTTATTTGATTCATTGCGGCTTCCCTCTCATGTCATACTCTGGGGTTCCCTTATGCATTTATGCACATGCACACTCTTCAAAAACGTGCTGATGACACGCTAAAATATATAGAATGACATTTGTGCCAAAGAGCATGATCTATGTAAATCTATGAAAGATTTACTAACAAGAAACTATGCTTCTAAGCACAGATTGAGAGATGTAGCTCCAACCACAGAATTTTGTTGTTCACTGGAACTGTGGTTTCAGGAAACACCGAATCATCGAACTATATTGCTAATGGAACTTGCGACCATAGTTGGCTAATGATGCTTTTGGTAAACGAACCCTTGGTTGGATTGAGAAGAGTTATGCAACAAAATGTAATACTTGGGGTCAGGGGACTCTTCAAATCCCTAGTGTTTAGCAAGCAATAGTGTTATGCATCCAATATTGAAGCTAATTACATTTAATCTGACTGGTGCAAACTAATATACGACACAAGTAATTGTACATAAACTGTCCAGATGGCTAAATAGATTCCTGGCTGTGTGTCAGCTCGCAGGCAAATCAAATCTTTAGTGAATCAGCACAGGAGGAAATGAGTGTGACGTGACGGGACTGGATGGTGTGACAGCGCTGAAGCAGGTGGTACTCGCTGACTGACCACACACAGACTCTGGGAGGGTCTGTGGCTACTCACAGACAACCAGCGGTGACGCATTTCCCCTGATCTTTACTCCCGGCAGATAATGGACAGGTTGAATTGTGTAATGTAATCCACATAATTTAAAGATTCATTGATGTACGTCACCACTGATTGACGTAAATGAATGATTGCATGAGGGAGGGAAGAATTAACTCATTGGCTGTCTGCTGTGAGGGCATACATAAAACAGGATATTGTGTTTTATGTCTATGAACACGTACTACAGGAATTTAATTCTAAAAGTAAAAACAACAAAAAACTTGATTAGTTTGAGACTGATTAACTTGTGTAACATATTTTCCGGAAAATAAGTCATCTATATATGCGACTATAAGTTGCACTGGGTCAAAATTGCATTGTCGAGAGAAGAAAAGCACAAAAAAAATCGCATCAGTGTATATCACATTTTATTATTACATTCAGCATGTAAAATACCGGTAATAAAAAAATTAACAAACATTAGAAACACTATAAGTATTTTGGTTTCCCTCACTCCACAACAAATCTTTTAAATGTAACCGAATTCAGAACAAGAATGAAAAACGTCTCAGGTTACGTATGTAACCATGGTTCCCTGAGAAGGGAACGAGACACTGCGTCCTCTAGAGGTCGCTATGGGGAACGCCTTCAGCGTGACCGGTGTCTGAAGCATATATCTAAAAATGACAATAACATTGGTCGGTGACAGCCTATGATGTCATTACCCTGCACAATACAGTATAAAAGGGCACCGGGATAACACGTCATCCGCTTCTTCGTCTGAAGCTTGCATCCGAAGCATTTCAAGGAAACTAGAGGACACAGTGTCTCGTTCCCTTCTCAGGGAACCATGGTTACATACGTAACCTGAGACATTCCCTTCCGAGGGAACTTCATGTTCCCATAGTCTTCGTCGTGCATTGAAGTTGTAACCCGCTGTCGGTGAGTCTAGTCTGTTCATGCCACGTCAAGTCTGTT